TCAAGAAACTCATCCAGGGAAAGATCCTTGTATGTTTGTATAATGTCATTCATAGTAGCTTCACAGGGTCACCCCAAAGCCTTGCTCGCGCTGCTGCCCAGGCGATGGGAGCGGTTGGGGTGGTACTGGTAGTTATTTTTGGGTCCTTCTCAGAAACAAACTCACAGAATTGGGATTTTAAGGACTTTCCAGGCATTGTGATCTCGGGACAGGCAGGTCAGGTACGTGAATGCATGCTCATTATGTATTCGATCCTGATATGTTTTGAAAGTGTTGTTCGATGCTAAGATCTGGTGATTTGCTGATAGCTATTCTTGGACAACTTCCAAAATGCGAATGACGGTGTCAAAGGACGGTTAAGTGGCGTTGGCAAAGCTGTGTACAGGGGACTACCTCCCAAGATTGCTCGATTTTCAGGTCGTGGTCCCAATGTGTACATGACGACATCAGATCTTTCGATGGATGAGCATGCCATTGCTGATGTTTAGAAGCCTGCCGTCGTAGCTCCAGGTGTAAGTATCTGGTCAGCTCGGTCTCCTATTCCCTCAACAAACGAGCCTTCTTTTGAAGGTAAGGATTCATGCTCGTAAACACGGAAATATGAGTATTCTTTGACGAATCTCTTTTCCGCCGCTGTTGTAAAAACTCAACTCCGGGATCCATGCCCTGCAGACCAAAAGTGAGCCATGATCAGTGGGACAAGCATGGCAACACCCCATATTGCGGGAGTGGCGGCGATCATTAGACAAAACCACCCCAACTGGAGTCCTACTGCGATCACATCAGCGATCTCAACCTCCGCTGTCTCATTGGACAGCCTCGACAATCCTTTAATCGCATACTATGAAGAGGTTGATGAAGAGGGAAATGTCATCCGCCAATTCGAGCGGCCCGGAACCGTCCATGATTTCGGTCATGGCTTTGTTGATGCTTGGGCTTCGCAACACCCCGGTCTGATCTTGGACGCAAGTAAGTATCTCTTATCTAGAATCACCATACCTTCGATCATGAAAACCGTTGTGCTGCAACATCCTCCAAGAAACCTACAGCGCTTACTTACCGCCGTCACTGGTCTATGTGCAGCTCATGCCGACTACATGAACTTTCTCTGCTCCCTCAAATTTCTCAGTCTAGACACAGTGCCAAACATGTCCGGCGAAAAGTGCCCTCCCGGTGTTCACAAACCCATAGACCTGAATCTGCCAAGCATAAGCATTAGCACTCTGATCGGTACACTAGTTGTCGCGCACAGTAACCAATGTGGATAACCTTGAAACCTACACTGTCCAGATCACCCAGCCTGCCGATATTGAGGTCACGGTGGATCCGGCCACCTTCACCATCGCTCCTGCAGCGACGCAGTTGCTCACAGTGACTGTGAAAGCTCTCAAGAATTCGGTGTGTGTGAACCAGACAAGCTTCGGAAGGCTGGACCTCTTTGGCAACTTGGGCCACGCCGTGAAAGTGCCGCTCACTGTGATCTTCAAAAAAGTTTCAGAGTGACAGTTTTAAGTTCATCTATGGAATGATGTTTGCATGGCTTGCTGAATAAAAGGTTGATGCGCAACCTGTAGTATATATTGCCCACTGGACTACAAAGATCTTTCAACATTTTGCCCGTCATTCATCCGTGTATTTGTGTGTACATTCTTAAGTACAGTTTTAAACATTTCTGTTGCAGAAATAAGTAAATTTAGTTTCAGTGGTTTCCAATAATACAAAAAAAAAAAAAAAAAAAAATGTAAAAAAAAATGTAAAACTAAAACCTGGTGTAAATAGAAAAGTTTTTTATTTATGAGAATGTTTAATGGACCCAATTCTTACTAAACTTATCTATCCATGTGTTAATTGTGATGAATGTGGTTGGTTTTCATTGGTTTTGGATCCAACAGTGGAGGAATGAATTTAGAGGTCATTTATTTTTTTCATGATGGTTAGGATGGGTGGGTCAATATATTAAAAGCCTATGTCTATTAAAACTCCTCTTTATTTATGATTCATTATAATTGATATGGTATCCTTGTACTATCTACTGTTAAACAAATAAAGTCAAAACATCACAATTATGATTTGAATTACCAAACCTATCTGATGTATCTAATTTCTATTTTTCAGTAGCTTTAGGTCATTCTAATCCATGTTCTACCATAGTTTAGCAGAACCAAATTTCATAACCAAATATTGACCTTGATATAATTTCTAAATAAATCAACTTACCTAAATTTAAGAATGAATGTGATTGGCCACAAGTAATTTGCTTTACTACCTTCTCTTATTATATCAACACCTTTGTTTAAAATATCTTTAAAAATTCTACAAGTAATTTCCATTCTTATTTTATAAATTTCAGAGATTAGTTGAAAAATTGACAAACGTGAATTTTACAAGATATGAATTTAGTCATAAATATTTCTAAATATATTTTATTTTATAAATATACTCTTATTTTTATCCAATTGGCCTAAAAGCAAAACCTCATTTGTAATGTGAAAGAATGTTTTGGTTGATATGCAATACAAAAAGAAGATTTGCAGTTACAGAAAAAACTTATTGTACAACAACTATGAATGTAAGCTCTTTATTAGTCATAATAGTTAAATGAGGAAGATTATTTATGAACAATGTTGCAATCTTTTTCAATACTCAAATATAATTAGTTTCTTTTTCCTCTTTTAAAAACATAAAGTGAGATAAAAAAATAAAATAATGAAATAAAATAAAAGACTAATCCAATCAGCATTATACAAATAATATGAAGAAGCAAAATTTCAAATTTCTTGGTTTAGTACATGTAGTCAAAGAAGAAAATAAATGGAAAATCAATGATCAATTTGACCTATAGAGTATAGACATGAAAAAAAATGCATGATGGCATTGGTTTAGAAATTGCAACAATAAATGTATTGGAAGTTATTTTTTTCAATTTGTCTAGCAATATTGGAATAGACAAACATCCTTAAAGTATTACATATCTAATGCTCAAGGACTGATTATAGATGTTGGTGTTGGTAGTAAGAATTATGGAATTAACTTAATAAAGAGCAAGTAGAGTTATTGCAAGTCTAGGTCCTACCGTGAGAAGTTGGCAAATTATTTGTTCCAATTTTGCCAAAAGTTTTTTAGTAGTGGCATAGACAAACATGTTGGTAGATAGATAGTTATGAAGAGGATGTTGAATAATGAGTTTGTAATTGCTTGTTGTTGTACATTTCCTTGTATACAATACAAAGAGACAACTTTGGAGCTTCATATAAGCTTGCCATTCCATAGTACTTCTTTTATCTACTTATGCATATCCTTGGTCACACTTCAATTACAACCTCCTATTTCCAACAAGATTGCCTTTGACAACATAGTAGCCTTAAGAATGGATAAAAGACAACACACTTTTGAATAACTTCTATTTAGATGAGTCTTCACACTCAAGTGAGGGCTAAATTTTGAAAAACAAAAAAAAATATTGGAGATGTGTGGTGTAAGTATTGAAAGTAAGAATTCATCTTAAAAAGTTGCTAACAACTTCCAAAACTATTATACTTATAAATTTTGTACATTTTTTACCACTTATTGATGTTGATTTATTTTTGTATTTGAACAAAGACTCATAATGTAGTCAAAGTTGTTAGCCAATTTATAAAGGTATCAGCACATAATTAGCTCCATCTTTATTAGAATTTTCTTATTAATTTTGAAATATAATTAGATTAATTAAAATTTATTATCTCTTTTTACTTTGGCTATTCCTAATTAAACTCACATTTCCAAAATACATCAGATTACAAACATAAACTTTATTTTTATTTTTATATTAAACTATATTCAAATTTATAACCAACATATAGAATTGAAATACATCAGGATTGATGAACCTTCATTTATAATCCATAAAAAGTACAATTTGTCTTTTCGTTTTTCTTTTCTTTTTTCTTTTTACCTTCTTTAATCCAGATTCATAAGATGTGTGTTTTGATTTCTATTTAATTGCTTGTACCTTGCTTAAGCGTAAACAAAATTATGATAAATGTATTTTTACTTCATTTTAATGAATGTTATTTACATTATATAATAACAATAACTTAAATTAGTTTTTAGTAGAAAATAATACATGCTTAAAATTACAAAGATACCTTAATGTAATTTAAATTAAAAATAATAGAAATTTTAAGAAAGGATGTATTCAAATAATAATTCAAAAACACACAAAAATATTGCAACAGTTAATTTTACAGGTTTGAAAATATCTCGTTCTCAACTTTAGCCTTCTTCTTAGCTTTCTCACATAATTTATTTTTATCTGACCTCAAAACCCCGCCGCAATTCTTTTTCAACTAAATAATGTTGTATACAATCTTACAATCTCCTTAAGTATAATTTACTATCTTTACTGCTAAGCTTTAAACCTAACTTGAAAATAGTATATTTTTAGCTTGGATAAATCATTTTTATTATAAACCATTAAATTTAAATATGGATGTATGTATGTATGTGTGTATATATTGGAAAATGAGAAATTAGCTACTTCAGTATTTGGGTCTGTAATTTAAAACTACAATTTATTTAAGTTAAAGTACACATGTAGACATGTATCCTTCAAGTAAAATATTTTAGGATATACCAAAAATAATGGAATTGTAGCAACGACATTTAATATTTTTGCAACAAACAATATTTAAATTATATCTTACCTCCAGATTCAAAATACTAAAAATTAAAGTGTTTTACAATGAATAAAATGATAAGGCATTCGCAACGAGGATTCACATGTAGTACAACAGAATTTGAATGAATTCGACATAGTGATTAAAAACTTCTCACAATGTTGGCTTTTAATAATTGCAGAAACAAAATGTTTTTTAGTTTGAAACTAATTACACCAACAATCTGTGTATAGTGCACATGGTCAAACTCATAAGTTATTCCCACAAATAGTTTTAGGACATCAGAAGCGTATCAATAATTTAATCAAACATGTCTACTTTGTTCTTATTTTGGACAGAAGCATTGAAAAAGGCAGAGAAAAATAGATGAATTGGGAATACAGATCTGCCCCTAAAAAGTTGCTCAGATTCTGCTTGAGCGGTACTTCAAGGGTTGAAAGTGTCGTAGCTCAACAGACACTCAAGGTGGGTCTGCTGAGAGGTGAATAGTCAAAGTTACAGAAATGTGGAGTCCCCTCTCACAAATCGATGCCTCTCAAGTGGCAGTGGGGAGCCTCATACTAAATGACCCTTCAGCCAAAATTGTTAAGCCAATATTGAAAGTCCATCAACCTTCAGCTACCTGTTATCTGAATGATAATTTCACCACCTCCAAATAGTGAACCCCTAGAAAGAGCTGCGTCTTAACAACCAAGTTGTCATAGGCCGTCCTTCAACCCAAGTTCCTCATCAAGAAAGTCATCATCCTCAAATAACTTGATAAAGCGTGCTTGTTGCAATTCTCTTTGTTTTCGACGCCATTGACTGTAAGCCACAAAGGCGCAACCTGCCAATGATAACAACGAGAATACTACTATAACAGCTGTCCACCCGTGGTGCGTTCTATTCTTTTCAGGTTCGTTTGTGAATTCCGGATCCGCCGCCACTCCATAAGGGATTCCGGATTCTACGATGTCTGCCAAAACAGTTTCCAAAATTCAATAATCGTGGTACTCGCCTCAGCCGCTTCTACGTCATCAATCTATGAAGGTGTACATTCGGTAGAAAATTGGTAGCCTCAGAAATGTCCAACTCACGAAAAAGACGCAATACAAATAAGTTCACAACAATAAATTGTACTGAGAAAACAGGCATATGGGCCAGTTTAACTGGAGGAGTGACTTGATCCAGTGAAATAAAGGGAGTTTAACTTACTGCAGTCTGGACACGAGAGGGTAAGGTTGAACTCCTTTTCTTTCAAACGAAAATAAGCCCCATCTGAATTTGAGTTGAAATCGGACGGGCAGAGCTCCCACTGATCGAATTTGTCATCTTTAAGCATATCCTTCTCAAAGAGTCCACATAGCTTACATTTCTTCCCTACTAAAGTTGTAAGCGGCTGTAAAACATTAGCATAAAGTCAGAACCGTAAACAAAACAAAACCCACAACCACTAAGTCCCATGATTGCAAATTTAACAGCAGAAATATTCTGACCATATCACAGTCTACACGAAACCGTGATGACTACGAAGTTTTCCCTTCAACTGTTTGCGCAAAATACCGCTTCTAACGGTGGTTGATAAGAAAAGGAACGATGGTATGGAACCATATTTATCCAGTTTGCAGAGTGAACGGTGAGCTACCTGCCAAGATTCCTGTCCCGAAAATTTATAAAGTTGACCCTTTACTTCAACATCGGGTAAATGCACGACATCTTCGCCCTGACATTGGAAATACACTTCTGGTTTTGCTCCAAACCACTCATGCGTACTAAAGATTGTCAACGAGTGTAACGTAACATTTCCATCTGCTTTAACACCTGAAAAAGGACAACATGCAGAAGTTTCATGTAAGGCCACTGGACCGAAAAACAGGGACCATAACACATCAGAAACCTAAAGGACAAGTACAAACACCCCATGTTGATACTATAACCGAAGTGAACATCTAGTGTCTCAAGAATCACGAAAAGATGAATTCGAACCCTCACAAACTGTGTGAATGTAGTTATCCCCATTCGAATGGTAAGCATTGTAGAATCAACCTTCGATAAAGTTCCACTATATCACAGTTTGCAAGTGACGCACTAGCAATTTAGTAAGCGTCTCTAAAAATGGAGTGATCGACAATGTGACCTCATCACAAACTCTGCACTACAATGTTTCATCTAAAATAAAGTCCCATCAGCTGAGGCTCATCCCACCTGAACACAAAAGTAGCAATTCCTCCCTTTATAGTCGCTCAATCGAAAGATTCCGAGCCCAACACGCATTAATCGCGATCTATGCACTTACCAAACGACGAACACATCGTGATTTCACAACCACACAATCTGAACGTAGATGCACGACGGGAAAAACGAAAATTGCGATGGATCTTAATACTAAATCCACAGAAACCCTAGAGCGAACAAATCCAACTTACCCCCGAAGCTCCAGCCTCAAAAAAAAAGTTGAAAAATAGACGTCACCCAAGTAACCAAAGGAAGCTGGACCCGCGAAAAATTCCGAGAGTGAAACCTCTTTCGCATTTGTTAAGACTCACAACAAGGGCTAACCAACCGCACAAGAGTTCGAAACACCAGCAACAACCCACGACGAAACGAAAAACAACAGACCATACGACGAGACTAGGGCATGAATGGAAGAACAGAGCTAGAAAAGCACGTACCAGAAGCGCTGAGAAGAGACAAGAGGCACACAGGCACAAGAAGAATGCGGCACCATTCCATCGCCATTGCCGGCGACCGCTAGAACAAAACCGAAGCTTCTTGATTGACCATCCTCATGCAGCTCACTTCATTCTCTCCTATTACCGCGCACCCACAATAATAATACTTGGTAAAGTCGGGGATGATACCCTTTTGGGTTACCCGAGTATCCGAAACCACAACGTCAATCCCATTAGTGACGGATATGATTCCCCATTCCGGGTGTCAATCCAAGAGCTCCGCTTGATGCCCTGGCTTACGAGGACCTGCCCGGGCCCTGCACTTGTGGGTGGAAGCTTGCATTCACTTTGCTCTCATTTAGTCAGCAGGGAAAGGGGGAAATGGATCTCAAAATATCACAAATGTTCTTAGGGTATTGGGAATTAAAGGTGAGCATGATATGTGTAAAATAATCAGATATTTGATTTATTTTTGGAAGACAAAAAATAATATATTTTTGGAATAATTTTATGGAGGATTTGCATTCGCCAAAGTCATACAAAGGCCTTTCTTAGATATTCAGTTTAAAAAAAACAGAATAGTGTTCAAAGGAGTGTGAATGATAACTTGATTTTTTGGAATTTTATTATGGGGAATTTCCATTGTCAAAGTTATACATTGGTTATGCTTGGATCTTCAATTTTAAAAACTGAATAGTGTTTAAAAGGGTGTTAATGGAGAATTGATATTTTTAAAAGAGGATTGAAAATAGAATTCTTGAAGGATTTTTTGTGGGCCAGTTTTACCTTTTTGCACCTCCTGTTGTAACCAAGCTAATTTTAAAATGACCAAGTCTTTGTTTGTTGCCATTATGGCATACTCCAAGTGAATAATAATTCTTCTAAGCAATGAATGGCCAAAACTCAAATGCAATCAAGAGCATTTTACTTTCTCTCCTTGATTTTTGCAAAACAAATCAATCATCATTTTTAACAAAAAGCAACGCATTACGAGTTTGTATGATTATCAAAGAAGTTTTTCAACTAGGTATTTGACAAAAAATTTAAAAAATAATGTAGAAGTGTACAAAATTAATAGTTTTTATCAGGTGGATATAAATGTGCATAATTATAGATATTTGATCTTGTAGAACACATTCTTCTAAAAGGAAAGTATGAAAGTGAAATTTAAATAAAATTATTGTATCTAAGATTATATTATTATACAATACTGAATTAAAAATTGAATCAAAAGAAATAATACATCTTTGATTATACCTTTCAAAAAAGTATTATTCAAAAACTTAAAATACAAATAAATAGTTATTTTTTACAAATTATTCCAAATTGTATATATATATTTATGCAACAACTAGTATGGCCTATGTACCCCTGATATAGCCAGCCAGCTGGTATTATTAATTAAAATTTTGTTTGACTTTTTTGGGTCTGGAAAGTCCCCTGAATTATCCCAAAGAGCACCTCAAACACTCCACATAATTTCATTCATATTTTGTCTTGTCTAGGATGACCCATTAATTAGGGTCATCCTATCTTAAACCTGGTTATTTTATGGTTATGTTATACTAAATATTACCATTATGCATTACAATATTATGTATATAATACTTCTTAAATGTTCATACCATCAATAGCAAATTTAGTTGGGTGTATTCATGTGATGAAGCTGGGTAGGAAAATACTATGCACATCCAACTAAATGATAACCATAGCAGATTAGATAGTGTTATGTTATAGTCTATTTTTTATGTAGACTAGTTTTGCCTTCACAGAGAGACTATGTTCTAAAGATATGTTGCATTCTCTCATTCAAAGAGATTCTGACAAAAACGTTGCAATTATCCTCAGTAATGTTAGCTCATGGCTGGATGAACTTGTGAAATGCAAGTTCCTACCAAAAGGATATTTTGCTTCATAATATACAGATTTATAGCTAATAACCGTGTTGTTTCATTTGAGTAATGGATCAATCTATATATTTAATAGGCAACAAGGATAATGCTATGTCGTTAAACAACATTCTATAATAAATGGAGCTTAATTGAGCTTCAGAGATCAAGTGCACACAGTTAAGTCAATATTCAAATCTAGATTAGGACAGATTAATTATTGATTGCAAGTGTTGAGGAGATTTCTGTGTTTCAATTCCAAATTTGTCTTATGAGTGATTCGTTGATTGAGGGCCTGGGGACAATTAATGAGACTTGATACACACCTAAGGCCAGTAAAATCACCTCCAATTTGAACACTGGAACCTTGTACTAGTCTATCTAACATTGTCACAAGATGTGGAGATGTATCATTGGATAATCTGCAATTCAAGTATAGAGTCTAATTTAAGATATCAAGTTGTTAGAACGATATTTCACATTACATTTATGTGAACCAAATGGTTGTTAATCATAAACCTAATTGGGTTACTTCCAAATTTTCTTCAGTTGTGTTGCAACATTTCATAAGTTTTCTCTCTCACTTGTGCTAGGTGGTGTATATGGTGTCATTTGTAAAGTTTTCCAATAATCTTTGTGTATTTGTACAATAGTTTAGAAGCATGAGCCAGTTGAGTTTGCATAGGTTTGAGAATTCCATCATGTTATTTTGTACTATTGCCCATTAACAGTTTTGTTTTCAGTTCATTCAAACGTACGTTTTGTTTTTTTGCACACAAGTTAGTAGGTTGTGTGGAGAGTAATGTTTAGTGTATATATATATATATATATATATATGAAAGTAGAACAACATAAAATAGTAATAAGATTGTAATTGAGGATAAAAATTGCTATAATGAAGGAATGGTGATATGATCACAAAGTGTTATAGAATTAATATTAAAATGACATAAAGATATAGAATAACGACATAGAATATATATATATATATATATATATATATATACATACATGCACACTTATAACAAAATAATATTATTTGGAGGATATATATAATATGGCATGTGTATCCTTGGTATATATAGTTGGTATAAGTAATTAAAATGTTGTTTTACTTTTTTAGAATACAAGATGTCCCTCCAATTTTTGCTTGGGAGCACCTTAAACACTCCACATAATTCCATCCATATTTTGCCCTGTCTAGGACAGACAAACAAACAATGTTCTTATCTAAGATGACTTGTTAATTGGGGTCATCCAACATTATGTTATGTTATATGACATATTACCTTTACATGTTACAATATTTATTACATGTTCATACCATCAATAACATATTTAGTTGGCTGTTCTCATGTGATGAAGATAGATAAGAAGATACTATGTACACCCAGCTAGATTATAATTACAACAGATTAGATCAAAATACATTATAATCTATTACTTAACATTTTTTGTTTTTAACCTTTTACATCAACAAGCACATCCCCATCAAATAATACGAAATACACTTTTGGGATACTCCAATTTGAGTGTAGTGTGGTAGTTTTAGTTAACCTTGGATGGGATTTTCTACTTCCTGTGAATGAGGACATTTAGATTTTCAACTCCGTTTGAATTTTCCACGGAATGGGACTGTAGAGATCTTTCGTCGCTGCTACAGTTATCAGAGTTGGAAAACAGTGCTTATCAGAAGGAGCTCGTAGTCGTTTTGTATTCTATTGTTTCTAATAACAAACAATGCTTCAACCGTAAGTTAACCGCCTCATTGCTGGATGTAAGAAGATGAGCTTGTGCACGGTATTTAAAGAAAGAGAGCTGTAAACTTTGTTAATTTTACACAGACAAGTTCGATCAGAATCGACATGTACAGACACAGAAAGAGCTGGCTCGTATTGGACGAAAGAGCAAAAAGCACAGAACCGACTTGGGGGAGCAAAATGTAATAAGCAACAGCCATTGTGGTCTCCCGATTTCGCTGCGAATCTCACTAGTGGTACCTAATCTGAGGCCAGAAATTGTCTGAAGCCGAATAATGGTTCAAAAGAATAACGTGGAAAAACAATTGTTTGTGTGTCTGGAGCTTTAGAAATTAAAGAAAAACTTGAGGACAGGTTTGAGGTTATGTGCCGTGTTGACGATGCTTCCTCTTTGTCTGCACAGGCAAGAATAACTTCAGGTTTCCTTTTCACTGACACTCTGCACGCGGCTTTTGATTTCGGCCTTCAAATGCCCCCATTGCCGCCCATGTTGTGCCCCTCGCCAGGTCTAGTCAGATCCAGTTGCAAAGATATTACCTGGTTGTTGCTATAAAACCAGGGTTGGAGTCGGGGTATCCTTACGAGTTCGATTTTTAGATTAGTGAAAGGTGGCAGGAGAGATCTGAGCGAGCTAGCCCTGCTGCCTGAACGGAACGGATTTGCTAGATATTGACTGCTTGGCGATTACCTGCAATCTGATCTGAACGGAAGAACAAGCAGGATTTATGAGTTTTCGGAGATGAACGGGAGTTTCTATTGACGTTGATATGGGTCCCCGAAATATTTTTCATCGTGGCAATCGGAGTCTGTGGAAATTGGAGACCTTCTTCTTTAAACAAAGTTGAATTTTTTTAATGTGTTTCATACTTCGAACTCAATATCGCGGTGTCGAATTAGAAGCTTACAGGTCGAAATCGAGCAGTTTGGAGTTTGACCAGAGCCTGAGTGCAAAGCTGGCTTTCGAAAGCTCAGTGAATTGGATCCTGGTAAGCTTGATTCTGTATATGAAATGACAGTCTCTGTTCTTCAAGTGATGCACTGGATTTCTTCACGAGAGTATTGCAATTGAGGTGGATAGCCAACCGTTGCAAAGAATGTATACCAATGTTGAAATGCCTGGAGTTCTGCCCTGTGTTTTTGTGAGAAGTTGCTATGCCTTTACAATTGGCTGTTGCTATCGACATTTTGTAGAACTCAAGCACAAGGGGGTAGAGAAAGCGTTACGTAGAAGGACTTAAACGTTGTCGTTGTACCACAGAGGCTGCTCACAATCCGGTTCTCTGGTTTTGTTGATGCAAGCCATGGTTCCCTATGAAGCGGAAGTATTTGATGGTTACCTGGAGCCGGATCCCTCCGATTCCGGTCAGTTCTTCAGCACTGAGGCAGAAAGCTCCGCTACGAGCTTACTACTCGTTTCTCCGTCAGTCTCAGCAATGCTCGGTGCACCTGACCCAAATTTCATGCGCAGCCCAACACAGGTGACCGGAAATTTTGTGTCTGATCCGGAACTGCAGGGATTCGACCAGTTTGAAATCGAGAGCCTTGACTGGGCTCAGTATCTCCATGATCACATGGAGATGGAATTCGAAGTCAACCTGTTCGATGTGGACCCAGCCTGGATAGAGAACACGTATCAGATAAGTGACAATCCTCTGTCTCGCAATACACATCAGGCACAATTGATGTTAGCAGGCGACTCTCCAACGACGGAAGGTGGTACTCTTGACACTGAAGATCTTCTACCCGACTCCGAAACGGAGTTTGATCAAGTTCAGGAAGCATCGATCATCTCTGAAGCATGCAGTTCGACATCCACCTCCCGATCCAGGTGGCCAAAGGTCTTGTGGCTTGTCAGCGCTTGCAACATCATGTCATCAACCACCTTAAGACCCAAGGTCAAAATATGAAAAAAAACCCCACAGTTGTTAACAACGTTTTCTGATTATTTCTGTCGATTGCATGCCAAACCTGGATGTTTACAAGTAAAACATGTAAATGAAGCCGGGGGGATTTAAGTACTGTGCAGGTTCCACAAGAATTACCAACAACTGGGATGATTAAGGGGGTCGTGAAGAAAGGCAACAAATGGACGTGTGAGACGAGAGTCATGAAGAAACGCCGCCAGAAGAACTCCAAATACAGCAAAGTATGGCTGGGAACTTACGAAACGCCTGTGCAGGCAGCTCGAGCTCTAGATGTTGGCAAGTTCTTCTTCTGCGCCAAAAAAAACAAAAACTTCTACGATCCCCGCTCGAAAAGCATTCTGGAGGGATTCTTCTCCCACCTTGTGTCGCAGCCCCTGGAAGTGCTTGTTATCAATGTGAAAAAACTCGCTCAGCATTACGGTCTTTATGGCCCCCCTGGCATCCACAACCTCGTGATATGACAAAAATCTAAACATCTCTCCGCTTGCTCACACTCGCATTTGTCAAGGGAAGACTTGATCAGTCAGTCATGCTCCGAGGACCACCCAGTGAACAAATATTGTATCATATTTGGGAGTTGTGTCATATTCTGTAAATCTTCTGTTTCAATAGTGTTGTCTATTGATCATGTGAGGAGTCTCTGAAGGAGTTGGTGGAATCAGTGGTGGAATTTCTCCTTCTATGAAGAAATATGTATGAAAAACAACCTGAAGGAACTTCTCATTGTGTAAAGAAATAAAAAGAACCTGAAGGTGGGTGTGTGTACACATGCCGTGTAGGGGGGTTGTATAAGTAAAGGTTATGTTTTTGTTGTATTGAATTGATTGAAAGACATGCATGATGATTGATTTTTATTTGTAAATATGTGTTTGTGTGTTTGTGTATATCTGCATGTTTGAAGATTATTTATTTGAGCTTCAATTGTGATATGTTTCAATGTTTTTAGGGCATTTTGATCAGAATGGCTAAACCACTTGTTCAAGTTAAAATCAATGTTGAGAATTGTTGACAACAGAACAAAAATAAATGATATTTCATTTGAATGTTTTGTTTTTTTTGAATGATTTAGCATTAGCCAATAAGTTAAGAAAAAATACACTAAGGCTTGACAAACATTGATTTAAACTTTAAATTTAACACAACTTAAACCTATATGCATGCATTATATATGCTAACATATAACCTTTACTTTTATTATGGATAGAATATCATTAAACATAAAGGTTATATGTTAAAATTCATGCATTATCTATATCTATATCTATATATATATATATATATTCATTTTAATAAATATTCATATTAATTAAATTAAAAAATTTAAGATAAATCTAAAGATTTAATTTTGATTTTAATTTTTCTTCTTTATAAACTTATTACTAAATCTTCAAGTTTATAAATAGATAGAAAAATATTTTAACCTATAAAAATATTTATATCAAAATAACATATACTTCACCTTCCTTAATGATTATAATTTGAGAGTGTAAAATTTTAACTTTATGTTTAATGATATTTTAATCATAATAAAAATATTTTAATACTATTAATATAATAAAGGTATAACTAATGCCATCACAATTTTTGCTATTACCACCAGAACCTACTATCCACTACATGCCACTTATATCCTATGTTAATACTAAATAAAAAGTATATTTTATATTTTATATTTTTAAAATTATTTGAATAAAATTAAGTTTTTTTTGTTGAATTCATAATTTTATTAAAATATATATATATACCTTCTCATTTACTTATTAATTATTTTTTATTGAAACCTAATTTATTTTTACATTATATTTATTTATTTGTTTATAGATTTTTTATAGAAATAAAAAAAATAAAAAAAATAAAGCAATATGTTGAGTAGGTGGTGAATTGTGGTGATAGTAGCAAAACTTGTGGTAGCAATAATAATATCCTATTATAACACAAAGTAGTAATGGTGCTCTTCTATTTTTTAAGATAATTCAGTAATACCACATACATGTCTTTTATCTCAAATATAATCAAATTATTTATCATCAAATTTATTTTTCATATATTAATACAATAATATAAATCATAAAGTCTATTTCAATTGCTCAATTATCTAAATTATGTATAATATTTTAAAGTAGCATTTTTTTATAATATTAAATATTAAGCGTAAATTTTAAAAGTAAAAATTGAAAGTTATACAACAAAGTGAAAGTTAAAATCTGTTGTACAATGAAATAATAAAATATTGTTAATTACTCTACTAAATATTTACTTTAAATAAAATTACTATACATCAACATATTTAGTTTATTTTTGATAGAACACATATATTATTTCAACTAATTCACTCAAAATTGAATAATTTACAATTGCTTCAATAGTCATATATAATCACTTTAATTAAATACATATTTAATACCACAAATTGTACATAAATGATCTCAAAATCTTTCTTATTAAAACCATTTTGAAACACAAATAATGTATATTCTATGATATACATATATAGCTGTAAAGAAGTTTGAAGTATACGTGGTAAACAAGATTGAATAGATTAAACTTTATAAAAACATGAATAATTTTTTACTTTTAAAACTTGAAATAAATTGATATGTGTAAACAATTTTTTTAAATTTTAATCACACATTTTGAATACTAAAAAGTATATTGTAATTACTTTAATGTTTTCATAATCAAAATATGTAAAAAAAAAATCAACTATCAGAAGAAGTATATAATTAGAGATTATGGATGTTGAATTTTTGTGCTACCAACACATTTTTATGTTGTAAATTTCATACATGACATCATATTTATATTCATCTGATCATATGATTTTAAAGTGAACTAACATAAATAGCACAAATTACTCATAATTTCATGTACACCTCTTGACCATACAATTAATATCCAAGAGTTGGCACCTCTAAGATTTCATCTCTTTCATCAAATTTCATGTTCCTGCACTTACAATCCTCAAGAAGCAAGGTGGTGGTTCAATGTGTCCCTTCTACATGTTACTTGGGTTCATCCTCAGCATCCAATTTTACTCATATTTTGGTCTGATGCATTTGAAGCTTCATGTGTGGACAACATTGACACAAATTAGAAATAAAAATGATTTTCAACAAGAAGAGTCAATGGAAAAAACTGCACGTACCTTGCCTTCATCTGTTGATGAAACAATAGACAGTAACCCTAATTTGAAGTAAGATGTCACTGATTGAATTCTCCTTGTCTTTCATAGTTTGAGACATGCTTAATGCTAAAACGGGACTTCGGAAATCTCCATCATTCAAAAGTTTAATTTATTTGAGAAGAGATAGTGATTTAACAAAACATTTTCCACATAATATACAACATATCAATGGACTTGCAGTTCACAGTTGCAGTGGATTTCTTTCATCCATGATTTTTAGGAATCAACACAAAGCCGATTTGTTCGACTTCCAAATGAAATAAAGTCCACTGGAACCTTTCATGATTTATTTTCAAATCCCATATTCTTCAATTTGACACACTTGCATTGTAAACACACTAATGATGGATTGATATGCACACAAAATTATGTAAAAAAATTAAAAAAATTAAAAAATAAAACTAGTTTATCAACACTTACATGAGGTTTGCATGTCACCAATAATGACAAGTAGCGATTCCCACAGAACTCAGATTGTGTTGCATGTGCAGGTACTGAGGATTTGAAGACGATTCAAGCATGAAATTCAAACCTGTGGTGATGTTTAGAGCAGGAGCAGCGGTCACAGTCACTTTAGTGTCGAAGGTAGCCACCGCGTTAGCCTCCTCAGCATGTAACGTTGGCACTGCTGCGGTCGCAGCGACAGCTGCTGCAGCAGCTGCTTCTGGCGCTGCAAAAGACAAATCTGGGTTTGCAAGTCACGAGCACATACCTAAGCAGACAAGGTTGAGGCATGGCAAAGGAGAAAAAATGAAGGAAGTTTAGTTCCAGAACCGCGTTCTCGCCTAAGAAGACCAATTTTACAGCTTGAGATAGAAATTTGTGAAAATAACACACGTCCCGAACTAGATTTTGAGCAAAATCTCAGTAAGAAATGGAAGACAATGTAGATAAACTTCCAGTCACAGAACTGACTCAATGATCTAAGTTTTGAACTGAGCCGAAATATTCGACTATAGAAAGTTATGGCAATGTGGGTTTAATGTTGGTAAAGGTCACTCTGCAAAAAATGACCTACTCTGGACCTTCCGCACCTATGGAGTGACGTTCCAATGGGACTGACCGGTGGTATATTAATGTCGGAAGGCTTAAGCTTTCCCACGTTCCCTGTGATCGTGTAATTAAGGCGAAATTTTGTCAAAAAGTAAAAAAGCATTAATGTTGTATGTTAGGACCATCAGGTGCAGTCTAAAGCTCTCCATCCGATGAATTCATTACTAAACAAATCAATGCAACAATGGCATGTACCAGCGAAGGTAAATATCACATTCACGAAAGCAATCTGCCTATCGACACTGAAATAGTATGCGTTTCTAATTGTAGGCAATAGCACTTGACACCTACCAATTTGTATAGCAAATCTATTTATTTTAAAGAATAATGCATCTAGCTCAATTCAGAAATAAGCACCACGGAAATACTTTGTTCTCAATCCAAGGTCAACATCGTAAAGCAGATGTGGTTAAAAAAATTCCAATCAGGGAAGAGATTAAGTATAAAACACGGTCAAACGTGAAAAAACGAAGCTGCAACCAGGTTTGTCATGGCGGAGCGAAAACAAGAGAAAAAGTTCGTAACCAGCAGCAAGAAAACAAGTATTTCAGATGCTTTGTTGATTCCCTTAAACTTGTCTCTGTGCATGCGAGGTATTTGGTGGAGGCTGTTTCTAGACTGCAACAGAAATACTCCAATGCTTCAGTAAACCACCGAAAGCTGAAGAGATCCTACCAATGCACGGGCAAGGACAATGGGATTACACCTAAAAGCTATCCTCCGAGATGGAAAAACAAGAGTGCGATCTACCAAAGTGACTAGAGACCTTTAGCTGATCACCCATTTAGGGTTTCGACTCAAAACTTGTGTACAGGCAAGGTCTGCACAGCTCAAAAACTCACGAAGTGTGTTCCTGCTTACACTTAACGCACAATGCAGGATCCTTTTCTCTGTGGAAGTAACACCTTCTCCTCTTCATCACTACAATTCTCTTCACTACCACAGCTGATGCCACAACCCTGCATTCACTTACATTCCATCGCTGAGCAAATCACACAACATTCTTGTGAGCTTCCACAGGTCACGTCTCATAGTCACAAACAAAGAAAACAACGTTCCATGAAAGGAAAAAAACGTAAACAATATGAAGTAATCTTCATATGAGAATCAATACTTTCGAAGCCATGACGTTCTTCATCTGTAAGTGCTTTTTTCATTAAATAATAGCCCAGTATTGTTATTCATTACGAGGATATATATATATATAGACTTTAATGAGAATTCTGGAAGTATCAAAGGAATTGGAGGAATTAGAGAGCATGCGAGTTTTAAAATTGACTATAAAATTTTATAAAGCAGATTTTAAACATTAGTATACGGTTGAATATCCATCTTGATGACGAATGAAAATTTATGGTCATGTAAAGTATGTTTTCATTTATATGAATTGTAAATGATTGACCATAGGTATGATTAAAGAAGTAGTAACTGAAAATGAAAAATTACTCAAAGGATGATTTTCTTTCTTTTTACTTCTTATTATTGAGCAGCATAAATTAAAAGATTGGGTTGTATTTTGTTTGAATATACTTAGGCAGCTTGAATCTTTGAATGATTTGAAAATCTCATACTTTTAAGAGGGGGAAAAAGAATGAATCAAAACAAAACAAAACTTATATTAGTATGTGTAAAAAGAAACAAGAACAATTTTATAAAAAAGTAAATAAAAAGTTCAAACATCATAAAAAATTAATGATAAAAAATCTCTTAGAAAGTTATTAAAATACTTATGCAAGTATATGGATATATATATATAATCTCACAATAAGTAAGACATGTATTAAGAATATTCATATATTTTGCAAACAAAATAGAAAGTCAGTCTCCAAACGAAAAAGTTGCAACAAAACAACTTTTAAGATGACAGTTATTATAAGTGGCATAGTTAGTGCTTTAATAAACACAAATAAACAAGGTGATGAAATCGACAGAGGTGATAGGCAGATTTAAAATCAAATGTGTATAACAGAGTCTTTAATAATTATAAAAATCTCACTTATTATTATGATTATTATTATTATTATTATAATTTAGCACTGTAGCAAATAACTCCAGATTGCAAATGCTATGGTATATGAACATGATTCATAAAATTGTCACATGAAAAATGTACTAACCACACTCAGGTGTGACAAAAGCACAGTTGTTGCATGATGGTCTTTGTGGAAAATGAGCTTCAAAATAAAAAACAAAAATAAAAATAAAAACTGATAAGTTATTTGCATCAATTCGATTGTAGAATTAAAAGCTGTTTTTATCTTAAGATCAGACACATACAAATGCCGTTCCAACATTCCATCTCAAAGAAAAAAACAATCAATTTGTCCTTAGAAATCGTTTGTTGCAAACTACCATCATTTTTGTATGTAGTCTTTTCACTTGTGCATGTAATCAAAATTTTATATTATATTATATTATATTTTAAATGATAAAGTTAAAAAATTTATATGTAAATATATATATATATATATATATACATATATGTACATGAAAACTGTCTTTGAAAATGGACTGTGTTGCCTAGATACCCTGACCCTGCAACCAGATACCTGGAAACCCAGAATTTATACCCTGGAGCACTCGAAAGGTGCCGGAGTCAGGGCTTGAAACCCCCCCCCTCCCCCCCATAAAGGATGCAACAAGCAAGCCTCCATTCTGTCCTCCACTTTGCAAAGCTGCCGCTGCGTGTTTTGTGTTGTTTTTTCTTCGAGAGCGCTTCCCGTATCGTGATTTTGTTCGGTTGAAGGGGTTTGTGTGCAGTGTGTAGAGCATTCCTCTTTTTATTTACATCAGGTCTTGGAGAAGAGCAATTAGTTACACGAGATGGACGGAAAGAAGTTCCGAACCCAGATGGGGGACCTGGCCATGGGCACGGCCCTCAATGCGGCTGCACGGGATTACCAGAAGGTGGGTCATGTTCTTCTCTGCTTTTTAAGCTTAGAGTGGTTGAGAGGAGCTGCTTAACGCTGTTTAGCGTTGCGACAGATTAGTTTTTGTTGGGGATGTTATGCCTTAGGGACGTCCTTGCGCGATGTAGCAAACGATATTTTTTTTCGTGGTTTTTACAGGGTTTATTTTACATTTTTTAATTATTATTATTATTATCATTATTATTATTTTTCCTGCCCAGAGAGTTCTATTCCGAGGCAATGTGGTCGGTGGACTTCATGTCTTGAGGAATGCAGGTTGAAAAGGGTCTTTTGTTTTCTGTTGAGTTTTCTGGACATGGGCACATTTTTGTACTTGTTTTTTTTGATGTTCATAGATCGGCTCTCATAGTCCTTCAAAAGTTTGAATGAGCGTTGTTGCTGGACCCGGGATGGTTAGGGTTCATTAGATGAAGCATGAAGAAGTAGACATTTTGAAGTTTTTTTTTTTCAACGCGAGTGGTCTTCTATATATGTTAATGTTTTTATCGGGGATAATATGTGGATGTACGATTCTTGTTCTTTTTCAGTCTAGTTTGGTCTTTATTCATGTTTCGTCATGTTCTTTCTTCAAGTTAGTACATGAGGGACGCATTTCTGTTGTGAACATGGACGTTATTGAAGTTTCTTTTAGCTCCGGAAGTCCCTTAAAGGGTGCAACATGATGCGCGCATGTGCCTACAACGGCTATTTTTTTCACTTTACATAGAGAAACGATTTTTACGATTCAGACAGTTTGATAGGAAATCAGTTATCAAGCTTCCCTTGCATCCCAAATTTATTGTATTTTCTTAATGTATTCTGGAACTTAAAAGAGCGTAACGAAGTATGCTCGTCAACCCATCCTCGATCGTTCACTGACCAAGTGCTTCATGTCCCTGTGGTGATCTGTTTCATATGCAGGAGATGTTAGCTGAATATAAGGCCCAATCTAGCCAACCGAAGCATGAAGAAGTAGATATCGATGATCTTTTGAATGTACCGTCTCGTTCTTCCTCAGCATTCCTGGTGTGTCTTCTATGAAGTAATTTGTCACCATGTTATGATTTGTGATTTTATTAAGGGTTTCTGACGTTATGTGCTTGTGTCCTAACAGGATCCGGAGCTAGAAAGGCTTCATGCTGAGCGAATTAATGCTATGAAGGTCTGATCTCTCCACCCGTTGAAGTTGCTGCGTACGGTCTCGTTGTGGATATCATTGGCGCTGGTGGCATGTAGACTATTATTTGTTGACTGAAGTATGGGAACAATCGTTGGGAAGAAGTGGGAAGTCTGTGATGAAGACTAGGAGTGATGGTCAGTAGCGTAGAATGAATATTAGACTGTTCGAATGCCTATCATTCACTTTGTGATGTCTGGTGTTCTATAAATTGTCTCTTGAAATTAGACATGGTGTTTGTGGAGAATGTTTTGTGCAGAGAGAAGCAGAGAAGAGGCAAAAATTGCAACAGCAGGGATATGGAGAATACAGACTGGTAAATATTTTCTGTGCCCTGCACAGGTTTCAACAAGTGGACCAATCTGTGAATGTCCGTCCATAGTCCCGAACTGCTGTCTTAAATCATCGGGTTGTTATCTAACACGACATTGTTTAATGCATTGCTGACGATGCTTCTTTGTAGGTAACTGAAGGGGACTTTCTGACGGAAGTAACCAAGAGCCCAAGGGTAATTTGTCATTTCTTTCATCGAGAGTTCATTCGTTGCAAGTAAGTTGATAGTTACCAAGTTTACATACTATTTAATACCTATTAAGTATTTGGTGCTGAACGTTGTCTTTCCCTTAATCAGTACCGAATTGGTTTTCCATGTTGAATAAATGTGAGTATCATTTTTCTCCACATGTATCACTGTTTAGCAACGTAGCTGTCCACCTCGGAGATATTCGGTGCCACAAGATCGGCCGTTTCTGTAGCAGCTTATGTGTGTAGTGTTTGCTCAGGATTATGGATAAGCACTTGAAACTCCTGACTCCTAAGTATTTTGATACTAAGTTTATATGCATCGATGCAGAGGTAAGATTTGAATGCCTTACAAAGATTTAATTGTGAATTTCATCATTACTATTAGCGTTAAATGTACTCCCTTTATTGCTCGTAATGTTAGCAGTCCCAGAGCTCTTCTACATCCTTTGACACTGCCCGCACAAGTCTAACATCACTCAGCATCATCTCTTTCCATTGAGCAGAATTGCCCATTCTTCGTTACCAAGTTGGGAATCAAGGTGTTGCCTTGTGTGATTCTATTTAGGTAAACCCGTGTCACTAACTTGCATGTCTCTTAGATTGCTTAAATTGGGTTGGATTGTACGATTTTCAGTTGAAGCCTGAACGAGTGGTGTTTCATATATCTGCTTCGTAGATTGTCCTAATTCTTGACTGGACGCATTGGGAGCGTGCCTGTTGTAAATATGGACATATATTTAGGCTACATAAAGCCATGGGATACTTTAGATGGACACATCATAAGTTTGTGTGTTCATAAAGGCCTCTTGTATATCTGTTCTTACTATTTTTGAATCTAAAAATACACTTGTCTATGTGCCCTATGGTACATAAGTACATCTGAGGGTCTTCCGATCGAAGATTGAAGCTTCATAATATTTCGAGTCTCATTGCTTTACGGGAAAAGTGTACATTGGTTCTGTGGCGCTACAGTGTTTGTTTTGTATTCTTAATTGAATTGTCTTCGAATGGTTGTTTAACGAACATTTTCTGACTCCCTATTGTAAAGCTTTTCACGTGTCACGCAAATTTACGTTTGTGAGGTTGCAGGGATGGAGTGGCAGTTGATAGAATAGTAGGATTTCAAGAACTTGGAGGTGTCGATGATTTCGCTACCAAAGCTTTAGAGTCTCGGCTTCTTAAAGCAGGTTTGTGAATGAGTAATGGTGTTCGTGATTCAGTCATGGGATCTTATTTTACACACTTCTGAATTTCAAAAGATATTGACATGGTACAATGTTGATCCCCTCCAGATTTACTTGTCCCTAAAAGAGCTGTGGATGAAGATGGCGAGGAGAAAGTAGTGAGAACGGTTCGGTCGACAGTGTACGCAGATTCCGACTCGGAGTGAGCAGTGCTCTGTTTCCCTATGTGTTCTAACGAATGAGAATCCAGCTCGCTTGGACCTGTACAACCAGGCATGGGATATGTCGTGTGTCAAGATAACTTGACATCATCCGACTTCGCCTGAAGACAAGATGGTAGCCAACTCAGAGGCGACTGTACTAACTCTGAAAATTCCAAGACTGCCTCTTCGCTACTCGTTTATGTAGAAAGGATGTTTTGAGAGTCCAAGGGATTTGGTTTCCTGTATACATTTTAATATCCTTGTCAACCTGACGACGTTGAAGGGATAGCAACATGCCAACAGTGAAGATGAGCACTTAGTTTCGGGTTGCCCATATTCACTTTTTATCGTACGCTGAGTGTATTTTCAAATTCGCACTGAAATGAAGAATTGGACTGCATTTTGCAACTACGTCGTTTATTCATCTCTTTGGCACTAAAACTCGTGCTTGTTCGGTGCATAACTGCTTTGGTTAATGATCACAGTTAACTGCAGCAGTTACTTTCCAAAATGATAATTCTCGGGTATGTTTTAGAATAGAATTCCTACGCTAGCTCGTCGTTTAGTGCGTGTGGGTGCAGTTTTAATAACCTAGATATAGTGCTGGTATAGATGCGACCTTCTTAGAGAAAACGTCTTTGTTTCATGTTAACCAGATAATTGCGCCTACAAAACCATCGAAATACTCACAAGTAAGTTGATTGTTAAGGACTTGGAAGATCTTTAAATATATCAATCTGATACCTCTTGCTAATGTATCCAGTGTTTTAGCAATGCTTAAGCACCTTCTTGTGATGTTTCTTGTCTACCTGTACTTGTTTTGATGCAGAGCTGGAGGATGCATCTGTCAAAAGGGAGATTCGATAATCATTCTGGGTTCCCAAGTGTATTCTTAAAGCCATTGTTGGATTGTTTAGAAGATCCTCTGGATCTGTCATGCTTAAATTGGGTTGCATCTTGTCGCATAGATGTGTCCATGATATTTCACTTCCCATCTGATTCACCTACCAATCTCCTCTTCTTTCAGCGTGATTTGTGTTAACCTGATTGTTGTGCACCAAGTGTTCTTCCAGTGTTATCAGTAATGTTGATTTGTGGAGATAAACTTGTAGGACCGAGGGCATGCCCCTCAAATTTTTTGGGTACCTTCTTTGTAGATTAGGCAGCCTTTGAAGATGCTTCAGCTGGCCAAGACCTGCCTCCCACTAAATGCTTGTAACTTAGGTTGTATTTAGTTATCTCCACTTAAGCCCTGTCAAACTTCAACACAGCCACTACGTCAACCTCTCCACATACTGAAATTCCTCCCGTACTATAACCAGATCAAAACACCGGTAATTCTGTCATCAACGATGGAGCATGAATGACAATAAAGCGTGTGCAGATAATCATCAAAATGATTGCAGCGTTTTTCAGTTTGAGGTTCCAGGGTCAGGCATGTAAAGTGGCACTGGCAAGTGATCTCTACATAATTACAGCTCATTCAGCTTGTATTCCAACATCCAGCAGTAGCTTTGTTAAGGGAGAAATTATAGTAATGGGGAGAGGTTGAGGAGCTGTGGAAGTTTGTAACTAAAAAATCTGAATGTCAAACTTAAGACTTTGCACAAGTCAAACATGCAACCGCAAAACCTGTAAATGTTTTTGAATATCTTCAACTAAAGAGAGAGTGAGGAGAGTTAGGAAAAATGATATTTTGAATCCAGTGGCAATTACTCCTTAAAGTAATATTCATTTCACATGGTTTCTGTTTAAATTCCCACTATATTATTTCAAAGTCGAGGGTAGGTGAGCTCGATTGACACATGATTAATGGGTGTTGGATGTATTTATTTAAAAATCGTATTCTAATAGTCTTAGTCTAATGGTTGTAGTAGTTGGTGCAAAAAAACAAAAGAATGGCAGAGTAGCATTAGTAAAAACTGCAATAATCAGTGAAATCATAATCTACCACCATATGAACTCCATTAAAACAATGCGTTCATACAAGCCATTTTTTCCACCTGTATCATTCGGAACTGTGAGCTTGAAGGCCAGAGTGAATAGCAGGCAATCCACAAATGCATGTGAACGAATTCTCCTCACTTTGCCGTACATACACAAGCATAAGTCTAAAGGTATGAACTCAAAAGGTGATCACTGGATTACTAATGTCACATGGAGAATTAAGAGGGCCAAAGCCCATGCACAAGAATAATATAACACATCTTGCATTCTGCATTTAAGGGTCACATGCAAGCAAAACAAATTATAAATTGCCTTCAAGTATGCACCAACAGCGCCGAAAAATCCAAAAAATAAAATAAAAATACAACAACCTCTGGACCGGATAGTTGGACCAAATAAAGAGCACGACAAGCATTGTCTGTCTGCAGGAAAGTGCTCATCGTGTTCTGATTAGTAATATATCTCAAGAACAATATCTGACTTTAGTACACATGTACAAGAGACAGTAAATAATGAAAGGGAGAAATAAAGAAACAGCTTGCCTGGCCTTTGGCTGCTGGCTCCGGGAAGATACCGTTGTTGGTTGTTTGTGAACGATCCTTGACTAGGGTGAATCTTTAATCCAGCTAATGAGAACAATGTTTACATGGGAGGGCACGAGAGGATCAGTAGCTTTCGAAAATTTCACCAACGTCAGCAGACAGCAAGGAAAGTAAACACACAACCGATTAAGACGACTAAATTGTGTGATTCTTTTTGAAGGAGATATCATAGCAATCCCACTACCTCTGCCTCTGCTTAACCTTCTACCTGTCCAACCTCCTCTTTGTCTAACCGTCTCTTTGTATAATCTCGTAGACGAAATTTCAGTGCTTCGTGAATCCTAAAACGCCTGCATGTGTGTAGCCTACGGTGTGTGAATCCTAGATGTCTTAGACGACCATACCATCTTCCAGCACTTCACTCCATCCTCAGTCCATCTCCCCCAAGCAGTTATCTGATATCATAATTCAACTTCAACGAACGACAAAACGATCACTTCGACAGACGTCGATATGAGACATTGCACCAGGTAAGTTCTCCGAATATATATGACTTTTCTTTGCTTTAGAGCATAAAATGCTCTTCTGTTATCTTCATCGCAATCGGTAGGTTCCCCATACTTTTCAGTGAATACACAGCAGATGGTGAACTCGTTCCTCCAAACCTCAACTCCTGTCTCAGACTAAGTACTCCTCGCTATGAGCACAAATCCTACTAATCAAATCCCTTCACCAAGTTGAAAATATCTCACATTCACAGTGCACTAAATCATGGAAGACAGCGAAGATTGGAGCAGCTCACTATCTACAACCCATTCCGTAGGTCCTCAAGCCCAAGCATACATGTTGTCACGGACAATGGTTACACATCCAGACTCGCAATTCAAGGATTCCACAACCTCTTTGTACACCAACGAACATTTCACAGTTGTCTAATCCAACAGCAACGACACGGACCATGGAAAAGTCGAGGTACTCAACGTTCAAGTCCATGGATCCTTGCCAAATCCACAATGAACTGAAGCACCACCTGCTAACGCCAAGCAGACACTCCACATCTGCACAGCAACTCCGACACAAGCACAAGCAAAACTAACAAACAAAACCATCGCCAGAGATCATTTAGTTGTGTGCTGAGTTTGATCTCCGCATCCAGATTCTCAGAGAATCCTCCAGCTTCAAAGCCTCAGGGCTTTAAAAGTTTCAAAGGTGTTCTTGACAAATCCTCCACCATGCACGAAGGTTTCCTGATGATACCCAGTTGTTGTATTCACAATGATGGCTATGCTTTGGGAGCTCTCCTTCCCAAACCTGGAGCTCATTTGTGATACCAACCTAGATCTTTCAGTCTTTTAGTTTGTTGCACACACTCACTCACACAAGTGGTGTTAACACCTTTCACAATATTGTCCTTACCTTTCATCGCTTTTGTTCTTCTGTGTGTGTACTTACTCTTGTATTGAAAGAAATATGATAGATTTAAGTGAGCAGGACTCCTACTCAATTCACAAATGTGTAAAGAGTGTGTAAAGATTTTTGTAGATGTACCTAAAGTGATAATTGCATTGTTTAAACATATATTTGGTGACAAAAATGACTTGAAGAAGTGACCTAAAGGGCATAAAAAAGGAAAGCATTGGTTCATTGTCCTTGAGGCGTTCCTAAACTCAATAGTGTTGTAAAAAAATGTTGTAAAAAAGAAAGCATTGTTGTGTAGTAACATGGCCATTATGTGAAAGAAGAAAGAAAGAATTTTATTATAGAAGAATTTAGTAAAAAGATATATTAAAAAAATAAGAATAAATAATAAGAAGGTAGTAAAAACTTTAGTCTTAATGTTGTTTTTTTATAAAAGAGACTTCTATTTACTTTGTAGGGACATAAATGAGCCAAATCAAAATAAATAAGATTAGTAATTAATATAAGAATATTTACGAGAAGATTAAGAATAGGTTTTAGCAAAATTACTTCAAAATATGAAGAATTGATACTTAGAGAGAACTAGTTGTGCACCATGGTTGAAATCAGACTCCAATGCACAAAATTGTGCATTTACAATGACTTTAGGGTTCTTTGGTTAATTTGATAGCAAGATTTGAGAGCAAACTTGTGAAAGGATTTTTGAGAGTTAATTTAATGTGATTTGAAGATATATTGAGGTTTTGAGAGCTTTTCAAAGTGAAAGGTGTATTTTGTGGATTTGGATTTTAAGAAATAAAAAGAAGTTGACAAATTTGATGATTTTGTGAATGTTGTAGTATATTTACATGTGAGAATTTGCTAATTTGTCATTGTATTTGTTTTTAATGTGTGTGAGGAATTTGATGTCAATTGAGTAGTTAGATCAAAGGTTGTAAGAATTTTTGTGGATTATGGTCTCAGATGATTGAAATTTAGGATTAGTAAGGGTTTTCATGATCTTGCAACATCCACTAGTTTGATTGAAGCAAAAATTGGTGAGAGCAATTTAAACTTAATATCTGCACAAAAGCCAATTTTTAGAGAAATTAAATGGTTTAATAAGGATAAATCTTTGTTGAAAGATCAACATTCAAATTGGAAAAAGAGAGTAGCCAACATCTGAGAGGTTTTGGAAGCTTTTCTTTTAAATGGTGAGTTCAATTCTTCTCAAATTTTATGTGATGATAAATTTTTTGTGGGCTAAAGTTTAGATAAAATTTTAGTCAAGATGAATGATTCAATTAATAGTTATTGAGGTTTCAAAACACCTATAGTAGTTGATTAAGATTTACTTAGGATTTTCTTGAAATTTTTTAGGATTTGTTTAGAATTTGGTTAAAATTTAAGATTTGATTAGAATTTGGTTAGGATTTAGGCTTTGATTAGGATTTGATTAGGATTGATTAAGAAATTAATTAAGAAATTGATTAAAATTTGATTAAGGTGTGGTTAGGATTTTATTAAGGTTTGGTTTAGGATTAGAATTTAGAA